CACAAAGTGGCAGGCTGGATTAAAAAACAATAACTATATGCTATCTTCGGGAGACTCATTTCAGCTCTAAAGGCACACAGGCTCAAAGTGAAGGGGTGAAATATATTCCAAACAAGTGACCAAGAGAAAGCAAAAGAAACCAAAGAAAGGAGGTGTAGGCATACGTATAATAGAAAAATAAACTTCAAGCCAAAAATAGTAACGAAAGGCAAAGAAAGTTATTATATAATGATAAAGGGATCAATACACCAAGAAGTTACAATGATCATAAATATTTATACTCCCAACAACTGAGCACTGAAATATATTATGCAAATACTAACTGATGTTAAGGAGAAATAGACAACAATACAATAAAAATAGGAGATTTCAATACTCCAGTATCAGCAATGGATAAATAGTTCAGATAAAAAAATCAATAAGGAAACATTGGAATTGAAGTATACCTTAGAATAAAAGTACTTAACAGACATATCCTGAACATTCCACCTTACAGCAGCAGAATACACAATCTCCTCAAGTGCACATGGATAATTCTTCAGGATAGATTATATGATAGGACACAAAACAAATCTTAACATATTTAAGATGCTTTGAAGTCATTGCAACTACTTTTACTGACTACAGTGGTATAAAACTAGAAATAAACAACAAGAGGAAAGTGAGAAGAACCACAAATATGTGAAAACTAAACAAACTCCTAAACAACAAATGGGTCAAAGTAGATCAAGAGGGAAATAAAAAAGTTATCTCAAAACAAAAGAAAATGGAAATACAACATATCAAGTTTTGTGGGATGTAGTAAAATCAGTTCTAAGAAGAAAGTTTATAACAATAAACACATGTATAGTCATGCACCACATAAAGGTGTTTTGGTCAAGGATAGTATAATCCCAAAAGATTATAATGAAGTTCCTAAGATTGCAATGGGACCATGGTCCCATTAGATTATAATAAATCTGAAAAATTCTTCAAAATTAGTGACAGCATAACTGTCATTAATAGAAAAGTTCATGATCCATTATTTGCTTACAAGCAAATCTATGATTTAAAAAAAAAGACAAACAAGCAAATCACTATAGACATATTTCTGAAAAAAGTGACATCTTCTCAAAAAGAGCCTCAGGCAGGAAAGAGCTCTTAGATATTGGTCTTGGCAATGACATTTTGGACATGATGTTAAAAGCAGAAGCAACAAAAGTGAAAATCAACAAATAGGACTACATCAAAATCAAAAGCTTTGAACATCAAAAAATATATTTTAATGAAAAGACAACCTATGGAAGGGGAGAAAATTTTTGCAAACCATATGTTGCATAAGAGGTTAATACCCAAAATATATAAAAACACATAGAACTTATGTTTTTGTTTTCTACAGTTTGAATATAATATGCCTAGGTGTGTGTCTGTGTGTTTTTGAGTATGTGTTTATTCTTCATGGTGCTCTATGAGCTTTTTGGATCTGTCATTTGGTTTATAACATTAAGTTCTTGACCATTACTACTTCAGGTATTTCTTCTGTTTCATTCTCTTTGTTCTCCTTCTGGTATTCCAAATATGAGTACATTATTCCCTGTAAAGATCTTGGCAATTCTGTTCTACATTTTAATTTTTCTCCCTTTGCATTCTTACTTTGGAAAACAAGAACTTAAGGCATTAAACAAGAATTTAATGCATAGTATAATGAATACAGACAATAATACTGCAGTATAATAATGAAATGTAATAAATATCACTACAAAAGCAATCACAATATACAAATGTATCAGAGTAACACATTGTACACCTCACTTTTATACAATGATATATATATATTTATATACATATATAAATATATATATATTACGTTCAATTAAAAAAATAACTGAATAATATGTTAAGTGGCCTAATGGAAAAGGTAGATAGCATGGGAAAAAAGGGTGGGTAATGTAAGCAGAGAAATGGAAACTCTAAGAAAGAATTAAAAAGGAATGCTAGAAAAACCTGCAACAAATGAATAATGCCTTCAATAAGTTTAACAGTAAACATAAAGTGGCTGAAGAAAGAATCAATGAGTTTGACGATATCTCAATAGAAATTTCCCAAATAAGAATGCAAAGGGAGAAAATTAAAAAATGCAGAACAGAATTGCCAAGATCTTTACAGGGAATAATGTACTCATATTTGGAATACCAGAAGGAGAACAAAGAGAATGAAACAGAAGAAATACCTGAAGTAGTAATGGTCAAGAACTTAATGTTATAAACCAAATGACAGATCCAAAAAGCTCATAGAGCACCATGAAGAATAAACACACACTCAAAAACACACAGACACACACCTAGGCATATTATATTCAAACAGTAGAAAATAAATACAGAGAAAATCTTGAAGGAAGTCAGAGAAAAAACAATAACGCCTACCTACAGAGGAACAAGGGTAAGAATTACAGCAGACATCCCCAGAAACCTAGTAAGCAAAAAGTGAGTGGAGTAAAATCTTTAAAGTGTTGAAAGAAAAAATTCCACCAATACAGAATTCTATATCCAGTGAAATTATCCTTCAAAAATTAAGGAGAAAACAAAATTGAATATCCTTCAAAATTGAAGGAAACAATATTGTGATAATTCATTGCCAGCAGACCTGACTTGCAGGAAATGTTAAAAGAAGTTCTTCAAGCAGAAAAAAATAATATAGGTCAGAAACTTGGATCTATATAAAGGAAGAGCATCAAAGAATAAATAAAAGTAAAATAAGTCTTTTAACTTTTTAATTTTTAACTGATCTAAAGACAACTGTTTAAAGCAATAAAATTAACAATGTATTGGTAATTATACCAAATGGATAAATGAAATATGTGAGTAATAAACAAGAGACAGAAGGATGACTTTGGAATACTCTGAGATACAGTTCCTGTACTACATGCTAAGTGGTATAGTGTGATTTGGAAGTGGACTTAATTTTTTAAAAATTTACTTTGCAAACTCTAGGGCAATTACAATTTTTCTTTAAAAAAGAGATGTATGGTTGATAAACTAAGAGAAAAGTGTAATCTTATAAAATTCCCATTTAAAACCAGAGAAAGCAGAAAAAGGTACAAAGGAAACAAAGAACAAAAGTAACAATTAGAAGTCAGTAACAAATATGGCAGCTATTAATCCATCAGTATCAATACTCGCTTTAAATGTAAATGGTCTAATCATACCAATCAAAAACAGAGGTAGGTAGGATGCATTAAAAAAAAAAAGACCAAATTATATTTTGTCTACAAGAAACTGACTTTAAATGTAAATTTTCAAGTAGGTTAAAAATAGATAGATGGAAAAAGGTAAACTATGCTAACTCTAATCAAAAGAAAGCTGGAGTAGCTACATTAATTTCAGACAATACATACCTAAGAACAAGGAAAACAATCAGGAGTAAATAGTGGTATTAAATAAGAATAAAGGGACAATATTTTGAGAAGACGTAACAGTCTGAAACATGTATGTGCCTAACAACAGAACATCAAAATACATGAGGCAAGAGCTGATAGAACTGAAAGGAAAATTAGATACTATTTTAATTATAATTGTTTGTCATCCTTTCAGTAATCAATACACCAATCGAATAGAAAATCAGTGAGGCTGTAGTTGACCTGAACATCACCATCAATAAACTGGATCTAATCAGATTTATAGAATTCTTCAATAACAGCAGAATACACGTTCTTCTTAAGCTCACATGGAACATTGATCAAAATAGACCGCATTGTGGACAGAAAGCACACCCAAACAAATTTAAAAAGGTAGAAATCATTGTATACAAAGTTTGTTCTTAGACCATAATGAAATTAATTAGAAATCAATATCAGAAAGACAACTGTAAAATCTGAAAACATTTGGAGATTAAATGGCATACTTCCAAATAACCCATAGTTCAAAAAAGAACTTTTAAGAGAAATTTTAAAATAGTTTGAATTAAATAAAAATGCAGCTTATCAAAATTTGTACTACTAAAGAACTGCTTAGAGGAAAATATCTAGCACTAAATGCATGTATTAGAAAAGAAGGAAGATCTAAAATCAATAATATGAACTTTCCCTTGAGTAAACTAGAGAAAGAACAAATTATACCTAAAGCAAGCAGAAGGAAAGAAATAATAAAAATTAAAGCACAGATCGATAAAATTGAAAACAGAAAAGCAATAGAGACAATTAAAAAAATTCAAAAGCTGTTTTTTTGAGAAAAAAAATCAATAAAATTGATAAAAGCCTAGCAAGGCTAATGAAGAAAACATGGAGAAGATATGAGCTACCAATACAACAATGAAAAAATGGCATCACTACTCATTATATAGATATTAAAAGGATAATAACAATACTAAGATCATTCCTATACCCAAAAATAATATCTTGGATGAAATGCAGCTATCACTCCAAAGGTACAAACTAAAAAAAAAACACTCAAGGAGACATCAATAACCTAAATAGTACCATTTATTAAAGAAATAAATCAATATTTTAAAACCTTATGAAAAATAAAGTGCTATGTCTAGATGGTTTCACTGGTGAATTCTAATGACCCATGTAATGAAAAAAATATTAATTTCCACAATCTCTTTCAGGAAATATAAGTAGAAGGAACACTTCATAACTCATTTTATGAGACTATCGTTACCCTAATGTCAAAGTAATAAAGAAATAGTGCATTATTTAATATATTATGTCATATCTTAATGTGGTGTGGCTGCCTTTCAAAGCATAGCAAAAATACCAAAAGCCAAATAGTTAAAGACTGATAAATATAATTTTTGTAAAAACTTAAATCTTCTATTTGACCAAAAACAACATTGAAAAGCAACTAATAATGTCCAAAAACAAATATCAAACATTTACATGAGGAAAGGCTAATTTATAAAGTGTATTGTACATTAAAGAGAAAAATGATTGTTATGGATTGAATCATGTCCCCCCAAAAATACATATTGAAGTTCTAGTTCCTTTTACCTCAGAATTTGACCTTATTTGGAAAGACGGTCATTCCAGATGCAATTAATTAAGATGAGATTATATCGAGTAGGTTGGGCCCTTAATTCAATATGACTGGAATCTGTACAGAAGATGGCCACATGAAGACACATAGAGAGGATGCCATGTAAATGAAGAAGGCAGAAGCTGGAGTTATGTAGCTGTAAGCCAAGGAACACCAAAGATTGCCAGCAACCACCAGAAACTAGAAAAAGGCAAGGAATATTCCCCCTAATGTTTTCAAAGGGAGCATAGCCCTGGTGACATCTTGATTTTGAACATCTAGCCATCCAGTATTTGGTACTTTGTTATAGGAAAGAGATAGAATGATTAAATATCCAATGGAAATATCTAGATGTGAATAGTCAGTAATGATGATCTATCAAAGATAGATGATATGGAATAAGGATGAGAGAATTGGAACTTTCTTGTAATGTGACAAAGACTCACCTTGATCAAACTTTAGTCAGGCTCCTCTGAGCCTTTTTATTGACTAGGGCTTGAACTTAGCATCCCATATCCATCTCATCCTTGATGGGCTTGAATAGCCCAGTTTTAGCAAGAATTCTCCAAAATCAGTTTAGAGAGGATCCTCATCCTTGACCTTCATTCCTCACCTTTGACATCTAAGTCCTTGGCTTGTCTTTAACAAGAATCCTATTAAGCCAGTTTAGCAAGAGTCTCTCTACACTTGAAGTCTCCTTGTAGTAGTTTGCCATCCATTTATTCTTACTCTGCTCATTAACTATAAATCTCCAGCTTTCTTTGCTGTATTTGGAGTTGAGATTGCTCTCTTCCCCTTATTGCAGTAATCTTTAATAAACTCTTACCATTTTTAACAAGTGCCAGAATGATTTTTTTCTTAAATAAATGCTAGTGGGAGCATATATCAGCAAAGTCCTTTTGAAAATGTTAACATCCATCAAATTTTACACATCTATTTTAACTAAGCAATTCTATATTTTGGCACTGGTATCACAGAAATAACAAATATGCAAAGAAGTATGGACACAAATATTCACTGCACATTATAATAAAAACTGGAAACAGAATAAACATCTGTTGCAAGGAAAGAGCCACCCTTAAACGCGTGTCTTTCTACAATGCCAGGTTGAGTGGAACCTTCTCAGATAAACCAATCAGGTATCTACACAGGTTAACAACACATAGAGAGGGGAAGTAGAGTCTTACACAACAGAGTAAAGGGATGAAAGTCCTTAGCAGTCTCCCAAATGAGCTCTGTTGGCTGGCAGAGCAGATGGTTTCGTAGGTTCCAAGCCAGCGGCAACAGCAGGCAAAAGGTCAGCATCTTCAGCTCTCAGCATACCTGTTTGTGATGCTCTTGAGTCAGTCTTGAGTACCATCTGTCTGAGGTGTTCAACTTATATGGTCATTATGGGGCAAAATCCTTATGCTTGCGACTCCTGCAGTCTAGGCTAATCCAGTGCAGTCGTGGCTGTGGTCTCTGTGGTTTTGGGCAGTCCAGGCAGACCCTAAGGGCGTTCCCATTATGTGCCAGTTGACGTTACTGTCATGGCTCCTATGGAATCCATTTTATAAAGATCCCAAAGTTCTCAGTTCTTATGCTCTATAAAACATCCATCTAAAAGGTATTAATAATATACCCCTCTAATGCAACATCATACAGCCAAGAAAAAACATGATGTAATTCTAAATATTCTGACCTGATACTATGATTATACTGTATTAAGGGTCAAAACAAGTTGTAAATAAGTAGAAACAGCTCTTTTTAAAAAATGTATTTGTGTAGTGGTCTGCACTGAATAAAGTCAAGGTTAAGCACCCGCAAACACTGGTTACATTTGGTAAGTTGATAAAGCTCGGGAAATTGCTACAATTATCCCATCAAGCACTACTCTTTGGTTTAAACTGACCGTGTTTACTCTGAAACAACCGACTTCTCACCATCCCAAGGCGCGGAGATCGCCGGGAAATGTAGTCCTTTTTCCTCGCGCAGCACTCTAGGTCTGTATGGGCTCTCTCTGCGCATGTGCAACCTGAGCCCGGCTTCTCCGTCCGTCCTCGCTGGGGAGACGCGCCCCAAGCGTCTGGGTGTACGCGAGTGCGGGGCCTGCGCACGGCGCCGGGACCTTGAGCGGCGCAGGCACGTTGCTCAGAGTGGTGTCCTTGTGCCGGCGGCAGGAGCGGCAGTTCTCGGGAAACGGCCCAGCTTAGGCGGGGCCCATAGTGCCCGCCTCCGGCCGGTTTCGATCTCGGCCGGTGAAGGCCGGGGGGATGATCTCCGCGCTGGCCTCGCGGTCTCGGGGGCCAGGCGCTCGGAGCGTGTGGGAATTGGTGCGCCGAGCCCCGCCTGCAGCCGGACTCGGGTAAAGCCCTCGCCGGCCGCGGGAGGGGAAAGCGCATTCGTTGACGGCGAGCGTGCCAGAAAGTGCGGGCGGTAGGTCTGCGGTGGAGCCCGACCTCTGGAGGCGGAAAAGCCCAGTACATTTTCTCGTCACCTGCAACCCAAACCGAGAGAAATAACCTGGATGCGAGTCAGGGCCCCGCGTCTGAAAATGAAGATGTTAATAACGTCCACTTAAAGGCGTGGATCCGAGAGTTGGATACATCATTTGTAAAGCAGTTAGCAAAGTGCCAGGTACTAACCACGGAGTATTAACTGCTACTGTATTTAGAAGGCTGTTTGTCTTTTTTACTGGGTGATTTACCTAAGCGTCACATCATTTTGTGAGGTCGGTATAACCATCTGCATTAAATATGCACAAAACAAAACAAATCCGAATCTCAGGTCGCTGAGGTGATACTGAGCTTAAGAAGGTCGGTGACTTCCAGGATCACCCAGATTCTGACAGCCAGGAGACAGTATGTTCACACAGTTAAACCATCAAGAGCAACTTATCAAGAGTTCTTTTGAGAAACTACAACCCACTTAAAGAGAATAAATTAAAAAAAAAAAAAAAAATCCTTGCCCTAAAGCACCTCATCCCTTTTACTGGCCTTTCTGTGGATTCTCTAACTCAAGGGGTAAACAACATTGCTAGGAAAATAAAGGATGTGGCCTGTGTCCTTCTACTATGTTAATTTTAATGAAATAATAGTGTCATCTTTTGGTGTATTTTAATCATCTGTTGTTAGCTTTTTGTTTGTATTGTTCAAAGCAAATCAATCTTTACCTAATGAGAATTGGTAGTTGTGAGCCCATGATCATTTCAAAGTTGCATATGGACTTGTAAGTGCTGCTTCTACAAGGTCCTTCCCTTGCTTTTTCAAGGGCCAAAGGGCCCTATTCCTATAGGGAGGCTGCTGCCCAGCTGGGCTGCTGAGATTATTGGTAGATGAACGTGGGAACTGTAAGGCAGGCCAGGTCTCCTGACCCCCATTTGCTTTCTGTCCCCACTCCCTGACAGCTGAACCTTCCTTCACAGTCCTCCACACTCTCTCAAAAGCCTACAGAAAATGAACACACCTCAGGTGAGCTCTTTTTTTTCATCCCATACTGTGTGTTAATGGATTTACCTCTTGATTTTAGATTGCTCTCAGCTTCTGTTATCAATGCAAGTTATTCTCCTTTTATAACCAGTTTAATAAGATTTTATTTGAGTCATGAATGTACATTCATCCTTTATCAATGCAAGTTATTCTCCTTTTATAACCAGTTTAATAAGATTTTATTTGAGTCATGAATGTACATTGAATTATATTGCATACTTCTCTGTATCTGTTGGAGTAAAAGTATAGCTTATTTTCTGTAATCTACAAATATTAGCGGTAGCTTAAATGGATTTTTAAATGTTAACTCATTCTCGAATTCTTGTATAGACTCTACTTGCTAATGAGTATTTTGTGTTTTCACACTTGTTCTGACATCTTTTTGCTAATATTATATTTGAATTTTTATTCCTGTATTCACAAACTAGACGAGCCTTTAATTTTATTTTATTGTGTTCCTGACCAATTATGGTATCATGGTTATACTAGTCTCACTGGGAGCACTTTCCTGCTCTTTCCTTCTTTTATTTAAAAA